TGGTGATCCTCCAACAAGCATTCAATGGATATTTATTTGCTTCAGTTACAAACTTGAGCAAGCCTGATAAGGAAGACAAAAAAAAAAAAAAAAAAAAGACATGAAGTAACCCAAGATTTCAGCCAACATGACAAGATAAGTTGGGGATCCCCTGGTGGCGTAGAGGTCAAGTCTCAGTGCTGTCACACTATCACTACTGTGACTGAAGTCCCATTCCAGCCAGGGAACCAACCCACAAGGTGCAGCAGACCTCTCCTGGCTCTCACCCTGCTGCTCCCCTCAGCAGCGTATTTCAGTAGATCCACCTGTTACACTTCCCCCCCAACTTCCCCAACCACCTCTGGCCTACACCCCAGTTCTTGTATGCATAATAAATAAAAGTAAATCTAAAAAAAAATAAATAAGGTGAAAGACAGAGCTAAGCTAAGAAAAGCACAGTCACGGAATCATCAAGTGCCACTTAATACACAGTCTCAGACAGTGCGTGGCAAGGCGTGTGCCCTTGAAGATGATCTTCACTTAATCTCTCCAAGCCTCTGTTTTCTCAACTGTTAAAAAAAAACAAGTCTGGATGAACTGATGTTGAATCTGCTTTGAAAATGACACAGCATACTGGAGGATTCTTACCATTGGTCTTTCTTCTTCTGTGAGTCTTGTGGTCAGTGGACAGGGTTGAGCAATTTCTGTTCTTTCAAGTGGAGGTCCCACTACCTAAGAAAAAGTATGTTTCCCATAGCTCTCCTGCTGCCACCAGAGGGGCATGATTATAAAAGTGCATTTCAAGTAACTTGAGAAAGAATGAATGAATGAAGAACTTTTCTTTCCCTGATTAAAAAAAAAAAAAATAGTTGACTCCTCAATCAAGTCAGTGCCTAGGGAGCCAGTAACATTTCATAGCAGGGTTTTCCAAATCATGATTCTGCGCCCCAGTGACTTCCTTTCAACATGTGTGGGAGTCTTTAGTCCAAGCAGAAGGGAATAAAGCTGGAATTTAAAAGTTCATATTAGTAGTAAAGATTTTTTTAAAAGCTGAGGATACACATTCAAGGAAAGTTCAGATAAAATAGATGTAGGTTGGGAGAGGAATTACCACATAGTCATGAATAGATCACTATTTTAGCTCTTTTTGAAAGCCCTGTTAGTCTCTGTTTAAATTTGTTTTCAAGTCCTATGTTCCTAAAAGGGAGAGAGAGATGAGCTTTTAAAGACAGGTTAGTCGGTATTCTGAGAGGGCAGATTTGTTGGATTGGATGAGACTTATCACAGACTTTATAAACATGCCCAAGGGAAGGGGGGAGCTAAAAGCAGAGCAGTGAAAATAAATAAAAGTAAATCTAAAAAAAATAAATAAGTTGAAAGACAGAGCTAAGCTAAGAAAAGCACAGTCATGGAATCATCAAGTGCTATTTAATACACAGTCTCAGACAGTGCATAAACTTTTATTTATTTAATTGAGAAAAATTCATTTTATGAGGTATATCACACAGGCTATTCTGCCTGCTTCCGCCTACATTCCCTACTGTTATTGTGCCAGGAGCAGAAAAGAATAAAAGTACATTGGGAAAGGAAATAGGTAGTGATAGAAAATGTTCTCAGGGGAAGATTTTAGAACTACAAATTACTACATTTATTTTATTTATTAGATCTATAGTTTCTGACAATCTCTAAAGTATAGGTTTCCATGGGTAAATAAGAATCTTGTCCCCTGGGATGCAAGATTCCAACTCCTTAACAGATTACTCACTTTAATATCTTTGATTTTATTCAACTCATAAATGAAGTTAAAAAGGTAGCTTGTTGCATTATTTACATGGAAACAGCCCAAATGCCCAAATGTGGATGATTGGATTAAAAAGATGTGGTACATATACACAATGGAATATTACTCAGCAACCCAAAAAAAAGAAACACATGCCTTTTGCAGCAACATGGATGGAGCTGGAAAAGATCATGCTTAGTGAAATAAGCTAGAAAGAAAAGGAAAAATATCAGATGGTTTCATTCATAGCAGGAGTATAACAGACCAGGAGAGAAAATAATAATAATAATAATAATGATAATAATGAACAGCTATATACCAGAGACATTTTATAGGGGTGGGATGGAATGGGATCAAAAACAGTGGGAGGAGGGAAATGCACTGGATTTTGGTGATGGCACATGGGTGATTTGGTGATGGGAAGCCCAAGGGGATTACAACTGAGATGGAGAAATGCACAAAATGATGTAAAAATAAACTATTATATATATTAAACCAAACAGGTAGCTTGTATTGGCCATATTCAAAAGTTGAACATTAATCCCAATCCCTAATAACTTGAAAAGCTGATGTGGTTATTGTGTGCCAGGTAGTTTATAAGGATCATTTCAAATAAGTGAACCTTTTCACAGCCCCATGAGGAAGTACCATTATTATTTCCATTTTACTGACATGGAAACTGAGTTTCAGGGTAATTCATTTGCTCAGAGTCTCAGCTGGGAGTCATGTGCTGGGTTTGCTTCTGGCTTCATGTGTCTTCATGAGCCTGTTTGGCCCTGGGTGCCAGGGCTGGCACAGAGGAAATCCTCAGATACTGGTCCAATTACTGTGTGTGAAGATTTTTCAATATAGTCTTAGGTAAAAATTGTTTTCTGTTGTAATTCCAGTGTTCTTGGAGAGGTGATTTGAGTAATTGCTAATATTTTAACTCAAGGGTCAATATTTTATATTTCTAGGAACATGAGAGAATTTCAAGAATCCATGAAGAGTTTAAGAAAAAGAAGAATGTGAGTATAACAGTATACATGTACTGTAGTATACATGTAGTGACAATTGGCAATCTTTAGGTTATTTTAGCTAAATTAATATCCTGATTCCTATTTCTTAAAATGCTACTTATTGAGGGACATGGGTGACTTCTCACCTCTGACCTGAATGATTCTGTCCCAACTTAGTAACCCAGGGAAATGAGCACCCATCTAAAACTTTCAATCCATACTTCTTTCAAATTCAAGAAGGGCGTTACTTTATATGTTCTAACTTATCTGCACAAATCAGTAGAGCCTAGAAAGAACTTTTATTAGTCTTTCCTATACTTTATTATTTACATTTATAAGTTTTATAAGTTGCTAAACTATGGTATTTAAAGTACTAAGTACATAAAGGTGTCTAAACTACTTTCCATTCAATTTTGCTAAAACTGTTTAAAAAATAGTCTCCTAAAAAATAAAGTCTCCTAAAAATTTGCAGAGAACTTAATTTTATTCTTTTCAGGCAGATTTTGGCTACATGAAGGGTCATTTCCTGGGTGTTAATATATTTTTGTGTTCTTTGGTGAGGAAGCATATCTTTCTGTGTTCCATGGTAAAGAAGTCAGAAGCTAAAATTATAACTATGTTTTGTTTCCAGGATCCCACATTTCTGGAAAAAAAAGAACGTTGTGATTATCTAAAGAATAAACTTTCTCACATAAAACAAAGAATTCAAGAATATGATAAGGTGATGAATTGGGATATACAAGGTTTTTCTTAAACTTTACTTGAAACTACTTTTTTATATCAAACTGAATATTTATTTACTGACTTTTTTATTTTAGTCTGTCTGATAGAGAAACAATTGCTTCCTGAACTAGTTGGTTTAACCAGAATGTGAGGTTAAAACAGTATGATAGCATTCAAACATTTCAGAAGAAAAATTCAGATTTATGAAGCACCTGTACCAAGAATGGAAAGAATTCTGTATTCATCTGTGTGCAATTTCCTACTTATCTATCTTACTGAAGTTAAAAGTGATTTAGGATCATATCCTCGCAGTATGGTGAACAGGTAGATTGTCAATTCTGGTGCTGCTTTTTCCTTTTTCACTCAGGGCAGTTCCTAGGATTTTTTTAGGACAAATTTCTCTTCTTAGCCAAAGGTGTCATTTCTTTTAATCCCAAATCAACATTTTTGGGATTAAAAATTCCTGTACACATCAAATACAGTGTTGAATGAATAACTGCCTTTTCTCTTCCATTTGGGAGTCCTTTCTAAAGCCCCAAATGTTATATTTACTTGGAATCTCCTTTGATATATTGGGATGTTTCTTCTTCCCAAGAATTATTTTCACTTTGGGCTTTCTTTAAGGACAATGTTTTCTTTTTATTGGTAGTAACAATGGACTGCCTTTAAAAAGTGCCCTTGAAACTGGATCATTTTCAGCATTATCTGTTAAATAATTTTCCAGGTGTAGAAATATGATTTCTGCTTATAATGTGCTGCCATTAAAACAGACTTCAAAGAATTTTCTAAAGTGATGAAACCAAAAAAAAAAAAAAAAAAGCATATGGAATAGCAGAGTCTTGAAAAGTATTAGTCACTATTAATGAACTTTCTGGTTCTCCTTCTTCACTGAGATCTTATTTTATGTCTATTGTTAATATCTTAGTTCCATAGTTTTCAGATTGTTTAGAGCCCTGAGAATCTTAAGAAATAACACCTAAAGAAGTGTGGGGTCCTTCTGAAAGTCCCCTTCTCCCCCAGTTAGAGCAGCTTCACTTCTATTACATATCAGAAACCCATGTTAACATTTCACTTAAAAAGAATACCTATGGCCCTTCCTGGTGGCGCAGCGGGTTAAAGCACAGCACTGAGAATCTAAAGCCGCTTCCGCATGAGTTCGATTCCTGCCTGCCCTGGAGGTGACCAGATGGTATGGCAGACCTCTCCTGACCCGCCCGCTGCTCCCCTCAGCAGTGTACTTCGTTGATCTGCTTGTTCTGTTTCCCACTCTGTCTCTGGTGAAGCCTCTCGCCGCCCCTGAGCCTCTGGCCTGTACCCCAGTTCTGTATACACAAATAAATAAATCTTTAAAAAAAAAAAAAAAGAATACCTATACTTAGGAAATATAAAAGATGAGCTGTTGCCATTGGGGTAGACTGTAGAGAGTTAGATTACTATTTAAATGAGATGTTTAACTGTGTGAAACTTTACTGTATTTGTAAATGGTTAATCTTTGAAAACCAATAATTTTAGAAATGTTCATGTCAGTCCTGAGGTACATTCAGTTGAGTTTTCTGTCATTTTGTGCCCTTTATCGCTTGCTTTCCTAGCATTCTTGTGTTGACTGGGCATGTTCTTGAAAATACTTTCAATTATCAGAAAATAAACTGGAACGCCATTGAAAAACCTGTAGGTCATGATATTCAGGTGACTCATTATTTCCTCCACCCCCATTATTTGCAAGAATTCAAAGTCAGGTCCACTGTATCAGTCTCCTCAGGGAACTGTGAAAGGAAAACAACTTTTGGGTACAGAGAAAGGCCCTGAAGAGGTCTGAAAACAGTCATAAGCTGTGAAGCACACTGTGGTTTTTTGCCCTCCATATTCCAAACCCCTCCTGCTGGTGCCTCCACAGGAAAAACCAGATGCACTTGTGGGCCAAAAAACATATTCTATAAGATAAAATTATATCTCCTCTTTCCTGTGTTCCTCACAAACAGATTGCATCTGTCCATGGAGATAAAGATCTCCTGAGTAGGTAAGATAAGCCTTCACACAAGGATGTTACCATATGCCAGTTCCTGGAAGAATGATTTTGTTATATTACTCCCATTGTAGCTTGCCTCCCTCTCACAACCCTCTATCTAACTGGATGGGGTGGATAGTTGTGGCGGGAATAGGGAGCAGCTGATCACAGCTCACTCTGACAGTCTTTCTCAGGCTAGCCCTCACCTTTGCCTCTGAAAATAAAGCTTCCTTTTCCTTTCGGCAGTGACTTACTTTTAAGTCTTTACTACCATAATAAAGTACCACAATTGAGAAGCCCAAAGAAACAACAGAATTTTGGGAGGCCAGAAGTCTGAAATCAAGGTGTTAGCAGGGCCAAGATTACTCTGAAATTCAGAAAGGAATCCTCCTTTACCTCTTCCTTGGTGGCTTCCTGGTGATGGCTGACATTCCTTGGCTTGTAGAGGCATCGCTACAATCCTCTGTTCCCACCTGGGCTTCCCTCTGGGTCTCTCAGGCCAACATAATAAAGATGTTGGTCATATCACGGTTAGGAACCCAACCTTCCTAGTTTGAAGTCATCTTCACTAATCACATTTGCCGAGACACCCCCCCCCCGTTTTTAAATTATTACATATGTAACAGTATATTTTTACATAATATGCTAAGAGCACTTTTATTATTTTATAGGACTTGAAATATGGACTTTCTATTAATACCCATACACAGCCAGAGCTAAATCCTAAATAGATAGTTCTTCAAAGACTTAATGGCAATAATGAGTAAGTTTGTTTTACATAACTGATTGAAAAATAATAAACTTAATCTGGTCTCATGTCTGAACACTGTGTCCAAATAATATTTGGGATTTGTGTGACCGCAGGATCATGGACACAGCAGTTCCCTTTCTCCTGGGCTTGATGCTGTCACTCTTGGTAGCCAGGCCTCTTAAGATCTATAAAAGCAACTGCAAAATTAAGGTGTGTGCCCCTCTTTCTCACTTCTGGGTAGACTTCTTTTACTAAAGTAGACACTTTTTTTAAGGTTGTATTTGTCAGGGATAGGGGAGAGTTTCCCAGTTCACCTAGATTCTTTGGAGTCTGGATGTAAAAAAAAATTAACATCTGACCAGTAGGAGCAATAAACAAAAATTCATAATGGACCTGTGGAGAACTTAGCATGGTTGTAAATTCCTTTTCTTACAAAAAAAAAGATTTATTTATGCATACAAGAACTTGGGTGTAGGCCAGAGGTTTTGCAGGGGGGTGAGAGGATTCACCAGCGACAGAGCAGGAAGCAGAACAACCAAATCTACTGAAATACACTGTTGAGGGGAACAGCAGTATGACATGCACCATGTGGGTCACCTCCCTGGCCACAGTGATGGTAGTGTGACAGTGCTGAGACTTTAACCCCTCCCTGCACTACCAGGAACACCCACATAGTTGTAAATTCTAAGGAATAATTGAGTGGACTGGAACATTTGTCCTGAGTTTATGGGCCTGGGGCATCAAGGAGATAGGGCAGAAGGTACATTTCATGACAGACATGCTTTATCATTTCTGAGAGTAAAGATGAGATTCTTCAAGAAGATACGTTCACGGCTGAGCATACCACTGGAAGAAGCCCTAAAACTACATTCTTCTCAGGCTTAAATGGGAAAGCAGTGATTTCTTCTCTGATTAGGAAAATAGCAGAAGTTTAGCACCTGACAATCTCTTCTATCAGAAGAGTTTAGATGAAGGGCAAAGCTTCTTAGCTCAAGGGGTTTCAGCGCTCTTAGGTCAAAATACTCTCTGCATACCAGAGTGGGGCATCTTGAGAGCACAAGTTCTGAGAATCTTGGGGTGGTCTGACTCGCCTACCTTCACACCCAATTATAGAGGTGCAGCTCACCGAACTGTGCATTTCAGTGGGAGCATTCCATTTGGTGTTGGGGCTGTTACTGGTGTGGAAGACATGAAGCCAACAGTAGCAAGGGATTCCCACAGTACCAACCTCCTGTGCCCTTGAGACTTATTTTCAAGTTTAGTAAGATCACACTGATAGACTGGAGTGAGGATTTCAACATGGATTTTCTTTTGGGGGAGTAGTTAGGAGAGGCACACAATTCAACCCATTATAACCAACTTTTCAACTTGTGAGAATCAAAAGCAAATAGACTTCTCTGTATATTTTCTTCCACTTAAGTATTCTACTTGAAACATGCGATACTATAATTTATAAGAATTATATATTTGACCACTCAAGTGACCAAACTATGTATTTCTCTATATATCTGGTCTACACCCAGTTTCTGACTCCTAGTTCCTTTAGAATTAATTTCCTAAGGGTTGAGAGTGATAAAGGCATCTGCTGTTATATTAATGAAGCCCACCTTGGAAAACAGCCTAAGGGTAGGGCTGGTTGCCAGAGGAACCACCACCAGTTTGAGGGTTGGAAGTTATAGCCCGACTCCCCAGAACTCTAGGAGAAAGAAGGTAGATTGCATTAGTTGAGAATGATCAATGAATTAATCATCATGCCTATGTAATGAACCTTCCCAGACCTCTAGGAGAAAGAAGGTAGGTTGCATTAATTGAGAATGATCAATGAATTAATCATCATGCCTATGTAATGAACCTTCATAAAAATCCAAGAGGAGGGCACTTCAGAGAGCTTCCAGTTTAGTGAACTTGTGGAGAATTGGGGAGAACAGAGCACCTGAAGAGGGCATAGAATTTTCAGTCTTCCCCATAGCGTGCATTCTTCCCTCTGGCTGTTTCTGAGTTATAACCTTTACAGTAAATCAGTGGTCTAGCATTAATAGCAAGAATGGTCCCCCTTATCTCCTAGATATAGGAGAATTGTTCTCAGCCTTCAGGCTTGAGATTCAGAGTACATTAGCACCCCAAAACCATCGCAATGTAATAATTTTTTGGCCTTTCCATATTAAGTCAAATCCTCCCATTGAATGCTATTGTACACCCATACTTTTTATTGAAATTAGTATAAATTGTTTACCAAAAGGTACAAAAAATACTCATAGCAGCTTTACTCTTAACAGCTCCAAATTGGCAACAACTGAAAT